TTCATACTCCAATCTCGAAAAGTCAATCGCCCTTTGACCCGTTACAAGCTCTAACAGCATAACCCCATAGCCAAAAACATCCGTTTTTTCCGAAGATTTTCCGGTGGACAAATATTCGGGAGCAATGTGGCCCATTGTACCCCTCACTTGAGTTGTCACATTAGTTCTTCTAACATCGACCAATTTCGCCAAACCGAAATCACCCACAACGGCTTCGAAATCTTCATCGAGCAACACATTTGCTGCTTTTACGTCTCGGTGGATGATTTTAGGGTTACAGTGTTCGTGGAGGTACTCTAGTCCACGCGATGTACCGAGTGCCACCTGTTTTCTCGTTGCCCAATTTAGAACGGGTTCACCAGGTTTGAGCTCTGTTTAGATATTATAATATCAATACTATTATATATTTTATATTTTAGGTTACTAAAAAATTTAAATTTTCTAAATTCCTCCGATTTTGATCCGAAAATTTCCGATTTTGGAATAAGTATTTTCATTCCGAATTCTGAATCATGATTTATCTTTGGATCGAAATTGAAATTTTTAAATGAGATTTTGATTTCCGATCCGAGTTTTAATTTCCAACAATTGCATTTTTTTTTTTTTGGGAAAGTACATTTATGAAATCAATATTGTTAAAATATTTTGTATTTTCAGTGACTAAAAGATTGGAATTTCCCGAAATCCACCGATTTCGATCCCAGATTTTGCGATTTTGGATTCAATTTTTTAATTTCAATTTCCGAATCTCGATTTACGATTTCTCATTTTTTTAACAAAGTCAGAATTAATTTCACACTTCCGATTTTTTTTTTTTTTGAAAATGCTAATTCCAATCTGATCCGTTCTATTTCCATCCCTAACTAAGTATCAATGTAGTAGTTAAGGTAACATACCTCGCAAACGAGAGGCGACACTCAAGTTTTCCATAAAAGGGTAAACCAAAAGGCGTTCGGTCGGAGTAGTGCAAAAGCCGATGAGTCGTAAAAGATTCCTATGAACAGCCACACTTATCATTTCCACCTCACGTTGGAACGCAGTATCTCCACCTGGACTCTCGTAATCGGTCAAACGTTTGACCGCAACTCTAGTGTTATCCCCAAGAACTCCTTTATACACCTTCCCAAATCCTCCTTGCCCGAGTACATTTTTCTCGTCGAAATTGCTCGTACAAATCTGCAATTCTCTCCAAGAAAATCTCTTCAGTTGACCGAATTCGATCCTCCGGTCAACTTCACCTGAAAAAAATCGCAATTCAAAAATCAAGAAAAGGGTGATTAATTAAGTAGTAAAATATACTAAGAGTGTGATGTGTTGTTTTTTATACTTTTTACTATAAATTATAATCGAAACAAACCTGCAACATCAACAAAAACTTCGTTTCGATTCCGACGCCGCCACAAAAGAAAAACGAGAGAATATCCGAGAAGAAGAATAAATAAGGAAGCAACCACAATTCCCACTATCATGCCAGTCTTCGATTTTCTTCTTGTACGAACTGCATCGATTAAAAGTTAAAACTAATGTCTTCAAAAAAATTAATAAATTTAAAAAAAAAAATTACGAATTACCTATTTCTTGAGAAGCACATGGGTGAGAAAAATTGATGCCACAATTCAATTGGTTCCCTGTAAAACTGAAACGAAGCAACTAAAAGTTCAATTCATGGAATATATATATATATATATATATATATATATATATATATATATATATATATATATATATATATATATATATATATATTGATTAAGAATGAGTACATACTTATGACTGGAAATAGAAAATAACTGCGGAGGTATCTCTCCACTTAGTCGATTATTCGCAAGCTGGCTGCAAAAACAAGTTTCACTTTTTCAGAAAGACAAAAAAAAAATTCGAATTAAACGTGTGAAATGTGAATATATAAAAACTCGAGACTTTTCGTCGATGGACTAAGTTATACATGAATGTGTGTCACTTACATCTCCGACAAGTTCGAAAGACTCGAAAGTGATTCTGGAATTGATCCAGATAGATTATTTTCATTCAAAATCCTGCTCGTATAAAACAATTGCATTAAAAAAATATATAATATATATTTAAAAATCAAAATGGAAAATCGAGTACTTACAAAAAGGAGAGCCGCTTGAGGGAGCCCAACGAAGAAGGTATTTCTCCAGTTAAATGATTATTTTCGAGATTCAACATGGTCAAGCTGGTCAAATTTCCAAACTCTTGAGGTATCTCCCCGGTTATTCCATTTCCTTGCAATTGGCTGAATCACATAATTAAGAGACATAAACGAAGTTTCTCGAATCTTCCGGAAACAAAAATTCAAATATCAACTATTTTTTAAATAATATACCGTACAGTATATTCAGCGTCTTCAAAATCCCGATTCTCGGCGACAATGTTCCGGAAAATCCCATATCAGATATTGCCCTGGTATTTGACCAATATATATATAAGTAATAATTCAAATGTGAAAGAAAACAATTTTTAGAGCACAATTATTGTATGTAACTTATAAGATATTTTTACGTACACTGTAATTACATTGTTATTAGTGTCGCATGTAATTTTGGACCAAGTGCAAGGGTTAACGATATCCGGATTCCAATCTGTCAGCTGATTGGTCGAAGCACCGAGTGAAGTTCTCAAAGAATATAGCGCATTTCCTATAAACGCAAATAAACATAGTGAAATAAACGAAACACGTAAAGGATAAATAATCAAATCGGATCGAATATAGCACTTTTCACTTATTTCTAAATTTCACTTATATTTTATATAAGTTGTGTTTTTATATTTTATATGAAATGTCGAGACACAAAAATTGTCTAAAACCAATATAAGTCGAAATTTCTTGATTATATGTAACCTTCGAAGTAAAAAATTTAGCTAACCTTAGTTTGTATTTTGCTTTGAATTTCTTGTCTAAGTAATTGGGAACAAAGAATCAAAGCTCATATTCGACAAAACAAAAAACTAGATACTATTTATGCATCAACTTGTCGAATGAATCGAAAAATGAAATAGGAATAATACCTTGTGCATCAGGGGACACAAAAGAAGATAAATACACCAACGTTACAAATCCAATAAACAGATTCATCTCCATTATATTTAGCAATTTAGTACCCACATACAAATTTTCACCGACGAATTGAGATTCTGTCAAATAATCGGAAAATTTTCGTTAAATTAAATACAACCAATACAGCCACCAGTCTGTGTTCATCCTAAAAACGCAGAAATTTTCAAGAAATTACAACACGGTATAGTAAAAAAAAAATCGACTTCAATAAACATACAATTAGGCCTCGTTTGGTTGGGGAGATTAGCCATGATTAACTAAATAATAGGACTTTGTTTGATGTTTGGTATCCCAATAACTTGTCGGGTCGACCCGCAAAAATTTTGTTATCATCATCGAAGGTCGAATAATATAATTGGATTTCATTAGATTATTTGATTTTATCTTGACTAATCTTATCTCGGCAACCAAACGAGGCCTTAAAGAGATTTGCCTGCAAATTCATAAATCGCCTATTCAACTTCCAAAGTGCTATAAAATAATCACAAATGCCCAAAATCAGTTCTCGCTCACATAAAAAACGAATCTTTACCAAAAAAACAAAACCATTAACCAAATTCCCACCTCATCAAATTCAAGAACAACAACATAAAAACGTTAACAAAAAAAACCTGTTAATCACATTTTTACAAGAGCCCACAAAAAATTAAAGCAGAATTTATTTTTATTTATCTCTCTTCTTTATGCATGTGTATGTATATGTATATATATATATGAGCGAAACTCGTTCTATAAAGAAATTAAGTATGGAATCATGGAACGAACCTGAGTGAAGGATCAAAGAGAAAAGGGTCTTGAAGTAAACCTACAGTAGTTGAGTGAAAAATCTGGAGAACAGAATTCAAGAGAGAGAGAGAGAGAGAGAGAGAGAGAGATGAGAGAGAGGAGAGAGAAGCTTCTGTAATGGCGTTTAGGAGGTATGAAAGCGTGTGTTTGATTAGCAGTAGTGCGTGTAGCTTGTGACAAAAGAGCAGACTTCCTCTTTCTATGTGTAATCTGTTACTTTGGACTTGTAAAGGAATTTAATTTTCTTGGTGCTATTGGGCCATTCTTTTGTCATGTTTCTACCTAATTTCTAAATTAATATTTTTTTTATTTTTATTTTTCGCAAAAAAAAAATTAATATTTTTCAATTGAGCTTATTTTAGTTTTAAAAAATAATTAATACTATTTGAAAGATATTTTTCAATCTGAATTTTGGATGTTCCGATTCCCGATCTTTTTACATCGTAATTGAAGTACATATGATATTTCGATTTTTTGTTCAATTTTAATTTAGAAAAATAGTTTCAGAAATTCCGGTTCTTCTTCGAAATTGCATTTATAATATCAATGTTATATGTCAAATTTAATATATTATACATGAATAAAAAAAAATTTTTAGATGTTACCGAGTTAATTTGATCCAATTTTAATTTTTTTAATTATTTTACACTTTTTTCATTTTAATTTTTGAAATTTCAATATTCGATTTTTTTGGAACTCCTAATTATGAGACTTGTCAACTGTAAAACGTGGGAATTATGCTTTTTTACTTAACTAAATCATGCTAAAAAAACAAGAAAATGTAGACCTGGCAGGATTGAATTTCGAACCTTATGCTGTAATCTTAAATTCTTAATTGATGGATCATAGTAAAAGCAAGTCCAATTAATTTTCCGTAATAAATTGCATAACTATTCAAATATATATATAAGTTCAAAAAATTAATGATCGGTGGAGCTTAAAAGTTAAAAGTAAGGTGGAGTGATTTGTTTATTCCTTTTTTCTTTCAATAATTTATAGGTCGAATTTCTTATTGTCTAAAAAACTGCAAGTAAAAAAAAAGTGTAATTCCGTTGCCGGGACTTGAACCCGGGTCTCTCGGGTGAGAGCCGAGTATCCTGACCAACTAGACTACAGCGGATTGTTGATGTATTTAACATTTAACTATATAAGATTAATATTCATAACAAAAACTAAGAATGAAAAAGACTGTTTTACACATCAAGAGATTCTAAACCTCGAAACAACCTTCTACAAGATATATATCAATATATCATATATGCTTATACAATATACAAGAATCATATTCTTCTCTACTTTATTCCTCTCTCGAGATGGCCAAACAAAGAAGAACTTTTATTCATCTCTCTCTCTCTCTCCTTTCTCTCTCCTCAATTTAGGATCAAGAAAATTGAAACAGCTGCCAAAATTCCTTGCCATATAGATCCTGCATGCCAAAGCAAATAATTAAAATATATTTGCACTAATCAAATATACATATATCACCAAGCAATTAAGTGTGTTTAATTCCGTAATATATATATATATATACACACACACCGTTGAAAATATTAATACTAAATGATACATTTCACTGACAGTTTAAGCTTTCCGTTGAGACGGTCATTCAACACACACGTACATGTGACAATGGATCGGAAATCATAAATAGAAATTCTCACCACTTGATAGAACCGACGAACTCGTGTAAATCCAGTTGTAGCTATAGCAATCCGTCGTCGTATTCCCATACTTCCCACACACGCATACGAAAGAGTTACGCGGCGGCGCGTACCCACACACCCCACCGCTCTGTTCGCATCCGCGGCAACTAGGGGCAACGTCGTACCCATCCAGCCCCCCCAGCGTATACTTCAGCGCCACCCCGTACCGCCACCGCGCCGGATCGGTGGGAAAATCTCCGAGCGCCACCACCGAACTGTACCCCTCGCAGCCCAACGCCTCCAGATCAAGTTCGTCCTCCGGGCCAAGATTCACCGGCGAGTACACGCAGCAGGTGTTCGTCGGAGGAAACAGCGGCAGCCCGAGCGCCACCACGCCAGGGCAGGTGTAGATATCCGCGCAGAGGTAGAGCGAAGAAGGGTCGCATATGGGGTTTCCCTTCACGGTTATGGAGTAGGTTTCCGGCGAGCATGCTAAAAGGATGAAAGTTGACGGCCCGAGCTGAAAAGGGCCGGCCCAGTCCAGCCCGAAGTTGGCCGGAGAAGGCTGCATGGATGTGCAGTTCGACATGCACGGCGGCGCGACGGTCAGAACTGAGTCGGAGTAGGATATTGAGGTTATTTGGTACGACCCCGTGTGTGTGGTGAGGCGGAGCTCTCCTTCACCGCCGCTGCCGGCGGCGGAGGAGCAGGTGACGTAGGGGTGGAAGCGCGGGGAGCCGCAGCCGTGGCCGGTGCCGAAGGGGTATTTGATTTCCAGCGGACCGCAGTGGGTCTTGCAGGCGGGTTCCACGGCGGCGGTTGTTTTGATCATCGGAGCTGATGAGATGATCACTGTAATAATTAGATAGAAGAAAAAATATATTAAATTGATGGAAATTAGATTGTTCATTGTTGATTGTTCTCTCTTTCTCTCTCTTTCTCTCTCTAACAGATGGCAAGAAATTGCTAAGGAGATTATATATATATGAATTAATAAATTAATGGGGGTGAAATGTTTGAGATCATAAGGAATCAAAAGATTCTTTTATTTTTTTACTATTGCATTTGTTCGGACACAAATTAAATGATATATGATTCTATTTGTTGGAGCAAAGAGCAAATAATTGATAAAAGAGTGGGCTAAAAACGAATTTTGCATATTTCATTTTATTTGGATTAATATGAATTCTTATAAATCTATATGTTTGATTTATTTATTTATTCATGGATGCATGAATCGTTTAACATTTACATCATTTAATTTGATTGATAAAGATCGAAGAACTAAAATTAAATCATTAAAAGTAAAGGACTTGATCGAAGAACTTCCGGAAACCAAGGGGCACGTTTGATAATATTAGCAAAATGAAATTGGTTGGCTGAAAAAAAGAAAAGAAATTGGGGTGAGAGAGGCTCGAACTCTCGACCTCAGGATCACTCAGTAGCTATGAGACCTACGCGCTAGCCAACTGCGCCACCACCCCTTGTGTATGATGTCTAAACTACAATATATTACTACGCTCTCATTTTGTTGCCAACATAAGATTTAAATAATTTAAATAAATCTAATTGTGCTTTTGAGCATAGAAGGTCTAATTAAAAAAAGGGATTATTTGACAAACCCCCCTCATATCCATTGTACAATTAAGATGGGTCCATGTTTTTTTTCTCTCTTTAAGAAAAATCCAAAATAATTTTAATAACCATAAATAATAAAATTTTATTATTTTAATACAATTATACCCTTTACCCTATATTCTTCACCCTATATTTCACGATCTTTTATCTTTCTCTGACTTTTCTTTTCACCGCCCAACTTTTCTCTCTTTTATTTTTTCTCTTCATCTTCTCTATCACGTTCGCCTCTGCCGCTGCAATTTTTCAGATCGATTTGGCCGTAGAAGACGACATCCACAACTCATAGATCCCTCTCATATCGCCTTCGTCAAATCAAATCTGCCGCGAGGGGCTTCAATCCGAGCAATTTCAGCCTTCTCTCAACGAAGGTAACAATTAATAGATTATTTAATCAATGTTTACACAACTTGATAAGAAGGTAACAATTATTAGATTTTTTGGTTAATTATTATCAAATTTTTCTTCTGTTCCGTTTTATGTATTTGGTTCAATTAAGCTAAAGGGCTTTTGGATCTGAATTTGTTTATTTTATTTTTGAGAAAGGATATTTTGAATTTGGTTAATGTTTAATTGTTTTATTATTTAAATAATGTAGACAACTATTTATTCATTATTTTTTTTTTTTTTTAACGATCTTAATTTACTTTAGAAAACATAAATTGATAAATAATGAATAATGTCATCGGAAAAACAACACAGTATTATGAAAACAACATATTAATTGGCAATTTGTGGATAAATAATGGATTTTCTTGTTCATTTTTTAGTGGACTTCTGTTTTTGTTATTGTTCTTCTGAACATTAAACCAAAACATAAATCTTATATGTTTGTGTTATTGTTCTTCTGTTGAATTGTGTACTGGACTTCGTTAATTTCATAGTCGATTTCAATAAATTTATAGTGGATTTCGATAAGTGTATACAAAATGGTTTTCGATGAATTTGTAGTGAATTTTGATAAGTATATAAAGTGGTTTTCATGTTTATATAGCTATTTATACAGAGTGGTTTTCATGTTTATATAGTTGTTTATGCATAGTGGATTTCGATAAGTATATACAAAGCGGTTTTCGATGAATTTGTAGTGAATTTTGATAAGTATATAAAGTGGTTTTCATGTTTATATAGCTATTTATACATAGTGGCTTTCATGTTTGTATAGTTGTTTATGCATAGTGGATTTCGATAAGTATATACAAAGTGGTTTTCGATGAATTTTTAGTGAATTTTGATAAGTATATAAAGTGGTTTTCATGTTTATATAGCTATTTATACAGAGTGGTTTTCATGTTTATATAGTTGTTTATGCATAGTGGTTTTTATTGTTGTTCCCTCATTTATTTTTCGTTTCAACAAATTAATGCAATACTAGTAGGTTGAAAAAAAATTGTTTATGAAAGTTTCCAAAATTACCAAGATGGTGTAACACCAAGGTTTTATTTGGAAATTGGTTTTTATTTGCTAATTAATTTTTTTTCTTATTCAGATTGATTTAGTGACCATCGTCGGCTTTGTTGGTGGTGCTGTACTGGTCTTGCACTTCTTCCTGGACATAGTAGTGGTTTACGTTTCAAATAGTGGATTTTCGAATAGTGAATTTACGTTTTTTGTTTGTTAGTTAGTTTTGTGTTGTGTTAGTAGTGAATTAAGTATGTTTTTAGTGGATTTCAATAAGTTTGTTGTGGATTATGTAAATATTAAAGTGGATTACGTTGATTTTACAGTGAATTTTACAATAATTTTGATAGTGGTTTTCGATAAATTTAGATTAGTTTTCGATGAAATAATGAATTTTAATTTTCGTAACTAGGTGGAAAAAATAAAAAAAAATATATAAAAGAAAAAAAATAAAAAAATTGGAAGTTAAAAATTATATTTTTTAAACTCGGTGGAAAAAATAAAAAATTAAATAAAAATATTGAAATTAAATAAAAACAATATTTTGTTTTAACATTGTAATAAAAAAAACAAAAAAAAAAAGAGAATAAAAAAACTTTTTTTTTGAAATAGAATAATAACAAAAACGTAAATCATATATAATAGTATGATAGGATTTGTTGTGGATTTCAATAAATGTGAGGAGTTATTTTGGAGAGAGAGTATGCTAGGGGCATTTCAGATAATTTAAGTTAAATGGCCTTATATCAAATATAATTATTAAAAATGGATTTATTATAAAGTCAAAATTGAATAAAGGGTGTTTGTCAAATAGCCCCTTAAAAAAATTCCTAGGCAAGATAAACTAGGGTTGTGCATGGATCGGTTTTAACCACCAACCAACCCATTTTCAACCCATAATTTGTGATGGATAATCAACCATCAACCGACCCATTTAACTTGGGTCGATAATGTCAACCAACCCATGTATAGTTGGGTCGATAATGATTTCTAATATGCTAAAAAGTTGGTTAGTCGGGTAATATCGGCCAACCAACTTTATTTATTAATTTTAATTAAAATGTTTAATATTTTTAATTTCAAATTTCTATTTTATATCACATTTATTAAATTGTCTAATATTGACCAAAATCCTAAAAATAATAAATCTCTAATTTGAACTATTTTAATTAGGGACGTGATAAATGTCGTTCGAGCTTTAATAATACCGTTACCACTTCAAATGTGATTTTCATCATTTTTAATTCCAAATTTTGCAAAACCCGAAAAATAGAATTTGTAGTATTCTGAGTTAGTTTTCTAATCCAACTTGAATCACCAAAATTGGATGTCGGACGAGAATGATATACATGAATCAATGGATACTGCCCACAACTTAGATGTATTGAGGTATCTAAAATTCAAAATGTGACTATTCATGCATAACTTTGCCAACGACATCCAATCTAGCGGATTTAAGTTGGATTAGAAAGCTAACCCAAAGGACTACAGTTTTCGTGTTTCGAATTTTGCCAAAATCAAAATAGAAATATGTCAAAATCATGTTCGAAGTCATAACGACATTAGTAAAATTGAAACGACATTTATAATTTTAATTTTAAGACATATAGCCTAAATATTTGGATGATTATTATTTGTTGAACTATTTATGTTTAATTGCAATACATATGCCCGTAATGTTTTGAATCTTTTATTTGAATATTGTTGAACTAATCACATTTAATTTATAACATATATAACGTTGTGACAGCTAATAATATATTAAAAAAAAATTAAAAAATATTTAGATGGATGACCCATCAACCAAACCATCAACCGACCCACGAAATTGGTTTTCAACCATCACCCAACCCATGTAAATTGGGTCGATAACGGTTTCCAATATTTACCAAGGTTGGTTGGATGGGTTGGGTTGGTTTTATGGCTGCTTTTTAACCAAACCAACCAACGCACAGCCCTAAGATAAACCATAACATAATATTTTCGAGTTGACCGAGAAGTTATTGTGTGTACGAAACATTAAATGATGCTCAATTGTTCAGTTAATTATGGCTGATCTTCTCAACCAAACAAGACTCTCAGGAGCACCAGTGTTTCATTTTTTATTCTAGTTTCAAGGCCCATTTTTATTTTTGCACAAGGGTTGAACCATTTATTCTGTTGAATGTTATTGAAATGTATCATTTAGTATTAATATGTTCAATGACTTCAATTCAATATTTAGTATTATATACAATTATGTGCATCCTTTCATACATACCATACGATACATTTATAGTGTGTGTATAAAATAAAATATATAATAAAAGAAAATATCCAAATTGATCCACTATGAAATTTGTGGATGATATGGAGTGGGGGCACCTACCCCTATGGCACAAGAATAACCATCAAGTAAGAAACCTCTAGACAAAGCTATCATACGAACGAGGTTAGAATCGAACGGATCAGATCGAAATTAACATTTCTTGTAAATGTCATATATTTCTTAGGCAAACTAATTATAATTCCATTCCAAAAACTTTTGGAAAAACCCGGAAGTTGGAAGGAAAATGCTTGTTCTAAGATAAAAAATTAATTACGGAAGAAATCACTGAAATTCGAAAATTCTAATTTTTATTCATCTATAATGTAACATATATATAATAATATATATTGTGAATAAGGCCCAAAGATATATTTATTACAATTAGGGCCCCAAGTTGCAAAACAAGAAAAATACATATGGAGTCCAAATTTACTTATTAAAAAAAGAAGTACTCAAAATATTTACTTAAAATAAAGGTCCCAAAGGATGAGGAAATTATTTGGATACAAATTACGAAATTACAATAATATACTGTCATTCATAAATTTAATTATTATTTTTTCTTCTGTAAATTATTATTTCGATATATTTCCAATTTGTAGGAAATTAAAAAAAAAAATAGAAAATTTATTGCCAGTAAATTAAAGCAACAACCAAAATCAGTCTGAAGAAATCAGTAGTAACATCTGTACTGTAATAAATACTAGTAATAAATGTTAGTAATAAATATATTACTAACACCACTTGCCTATATGATATTCCCCATAATACCCTATTCCTTAAATGAAAATGGAAATAATTTATACACTAATTATATATGACCTTATATTCCAATTTATAGACTGTCAATTTCGAATTAATACCCTTTTATTTATTTTCCAATTTTACTCTTCTAATTCATAGAGTATTTTTACATTAATACGTCAACTATAATAATATGTTTAATGGGAAAATAAATAAAAGGAATTTTGCTTATATTGCAATATATTTTGTAAATATTTATGTATATTTATTTGTCCTTTTAATACGTATATTAAAACTTTAAACAACCCTTAAATTAAAAATACACAAATTCCAGTTCATCTATCATTATAGATTCCATATTTACAAAATTTAACTATTAAAAAAAAAGAGGGCATGCATATTTAAAAATCTAAATAAACAATGAAGATTATTTATGCCAATTAATTTATTAATTATCTTACAATATAATGGATCTAATATATATATATATAAATACTAATTCTCACCGGAGTTATATATATAAAAGCTAAGGGTTGTAGAAGTGGCCACCGCATCTGCACTTCCACCCAAGTGGCTTGTAATTGGAGTACATTTTTCCGGCCGGCGTTTCTTGAAATGAACTCGGATCGACCCGGTGGTTACCCGGCAGAGTAGGCTCTTCCGCCGCCGTGCATGGGTGGCAATTGTTGCATTTGTTATGGCAGCTCGGCGGCATCGAACCCATTCTTGCCTTTTCATCTACTAACAAAACCTGCAAATTATTTATTTAATTTTCACAATTCACACACACAAA